AGAGTGGCCTTTAAGCACTAAACTGAACTGCCCTAGTGGTTTCCAAGGCCCTAAATCATGACAGGAGCACAAACCGCATCTCTCTTCCTCAGAGCAGCTCGGGGGTCCAACCACTGACCTTTTGATAGCCCAGCATATAACCCCTGCACCACCAGGGCGACGACACGAACCTGACCGTGTCATGTTCATCGTGTTTCCAACCGGATGGCTTTCTGGCTCTGACTGCTTTCTGGAAAGGGGTTCGGTCATGGTTGCAAACGCTTCCTCTGCTATCGCTTTCGCTGTTGTAAGAGGAAGAACAAGAAGATGAAGGGCAAGAACAGACTAGAAAGGAGATGAAGAGAGTGGCAGGTGCAAAGTTGCGAGCCCCCTGCCCCCGGGAGACTATTCAAAGATTCCCACTAGACGGAAGCGTTCAGTTAGCATTAGAGTCCATCCTAGCCTACTGCCTCTGAGTGGATTTCTCAGCAGTTAGCGATACAGCTATGAGTCGCAATGACGAATTTCCTGGTTTTGCCCTTCCATGACTAAAATGATAAGGGGCAATGTCTGAGCTATTTAAATTTTTTTGAGTTACTGTTTAATTTAGTTGAAAAGTATCAAACTTTACCTATGATCGCTCTTAAAATAAATGTGTTCCAGGTTGTTATTTTTATGTGGAAACATCTTTCTTCATTCATTTATGAACTATAAAACATTTATCACTTTAAAAACAAAAACCTATCGGTGAAAACTTCCTTTATAGCTTGCCAGGGTCCTGGTCCCAGTCTGTGGAGGGAGGCAGCAAATGAAAGTTGAGCCGTACTTTGGAACTCAGTGCAAAAGAAGATGCACTGAATCAATCCAACATCCCCAAGCACACACAGCCTGAGTGTTTCAAAATGACAATGCTGAGAGCAGTTCGCTTACTGTGCGAGTACTCATAGCAGGAAGGGGCCGTAAAGGGGGAATTTTGTTCTCTTCGATTGAGTCACTGTCAATAATAATCATGGTTCTATCCCTCAAAAAGCCCCCGAAAGAGTGGTTCTCAACGTGCTCATTTTATTGAGTTATCTAGTGCCTTTTAATGTAAAATTTCTCATGAGATTTTAACCTCTCTAAACAAGAACTTTAGATCCCCTCCCATCTTTTCTCTCATAACTGTGCAATCAATTGAATAAATCACTAGGGCATATTTTTCTTTATATCTTAACATTATAGCTCTCTCACTCTAACAGTCATTTCTCCAAGCCCCACTGCTGGAGGAAAATGATGGAGTGGGAGCTTGGGGTGGGTGGTGGGGTGGGTAGAACAGGTAGATGGAGTATTTTGGATGGCTTTCTACAATGAGAGTCCACTATAATCATGGTTGAAAAAAAAAGCAAGTTCCCAATGCTTAAGACCTCACCCAGTAACCCAGGTGGTGTAGTAGAGTACGAGATGGCATGCTAACCACAAGGTCAGCAGTTTGAAGCCACCAGCTGCCCTTCAGAGAAGGAAGAAGTGTTCTGCCCTGTGAAAGTTTGCAGCCTTGGAGAGCTACAGGGATAGTGTGCGTTGCCCGATGGGGTCACTAAACGACAGAATTGACTATTGGTGAGTGTGTGGTTTTTTGGAAGGCTTCTCCACAAAACAACTTTTTCCTAGAAGCTGGATAATTTACACAGATTCCTTGGGACTGAGCATTTGATCTTCTTCTTTTGACTTTTTAACAGCAACTTTTGGGGAAAAATACTAACAAAGTGATTTTTTCCCCATCTTTATGAATTATCAGATTAAAATAGCAACACAAATGAGCTTATAGGGCACATTAAAACACTATTAATTGAGCCCCCAATAAAATGATTTTAAAAAACAAAACAAAAACCAAAAACACTATTGATACCTGGAAGTCAATGATTGTTGTCCCTTTAATGGACAAGGGACAGGAGCAAGAGGTGTGACTTCATCCCTAAAGTCCTTTGAAAGATTATAGTTCTAGAAAGTTATATTAAAATATTTTTTACTTATGAATATTTGCCTGTGTTTATTTATTTATTCAAAAATGTGTTCTTCTCTGTGTTTACCAGACATACTGGTATTCTGTTTCTGTTTTTTTCGTTCTTATGAGTCATCACTCTTTTATACTGGTTACCCTAGCATCTAGAGACTGGCCAGAAGGCTGGAGTCCTGAAATGCCCCACCTGTTTCACATGTCCTCTTTGTGGTAAAGCCCATTCTATTATTCTCTTGCCTTGGGCTTTCCTTTAGTGGCCACCAGTAACTCAAACCAAACACACTAGTATCAAACTGATACCTGCTCATAGTGATTCCATGGGACAGTGTAGAACTGCCGCTAGGAGTTTCCCAGATGGCAACTCTGCGGGGGGGAAAGCTCTTTCTCCCTCAGGGAGGTTAGTGGTTTTTGAACTGCTGACCCTGCAGACCACAGCCCAATGTGTAACCACTACACCACCAGAGACTCCTTCTTTAGTGGCCAATCAGTATTTCTTGCGTCTCACTATTTATTAGGAAGGTTTATTAATATCTTATCTTTACCCACACCCCCGTGTTAGAGAGAACACAGGCTTAGCTGCATGAAGTAACTTTCACATGGTCAAGCACTGCTGGCACAGCTTCCATTTTTGAGCTGAGTTTCTTAGACATTCAGGTTGGCCTGAACTAACGACTGTGCAGCCTCCTTCTCTCGAAAAGGCACTTACTTGGTACAAGCTTTGGAAATGACATTTGATCAAGTCTGGCCTCTAGCAGACACCTCACTCAATCCCCAAAGCCCACCACCCGGAATGTACCGGTAAGGTATCTTTGAGCAGGCTAGCATTGCCTGCCAAAGTTTTCCCTTACTGGAAAACCTCTGTGACACCCCAGAAACCAAGGTATGGAAACCCCGAGCCAACAGGGTATTCAGCTCCCTTAAGACTGAGTCTCACAGGCCAAATTCCTGCCCACGGTAGTGGCATAAGCTCAAGAATCTGAGTTCGGAAAGCAATTCTCTGGAGTTCGTTTGATTCAAGCCAAGACTTTTTGGGCCCCCACTTCCCTCTTCTCCCCCGAAGGAAAACTCAGCTGTGTTTCTCTCTGTCCTCAAAGGACAGAGCGAAGAAGGCAAAACTGTTCCACTCTGAAAAATATGACTAGCACCTCAAATCAGATCGTTCTTTAGACAGCTCTATCCTCTGAACTCTGATGGAAATATTTTCATCAATTTGCAGAATATTTTTCTACAAAGAGAATTTTGTTATAAAAGGGACCAGTGTTTTCAACATTGTTTAGGTTTTCCCAGGAGAGAACCTCACAATAAAAATGGAAGAGATAACATGGAAACAATGAGGTATATGTAAAAAACAACAAAAAAACGACTTTATCAACATTCTTTGAAATACGAAATGTTCCACTGAAACACAAAATGCTGTCTTTTACTGTTTTTGCTCCTGCTAATTAGACCTGAGGGTCCAGTTGGGTTGGCTTTAGGGGGCTCATAAATCACTGGCGATTGTAATTATTGGGGTGGCACATGCTTTAGCCTGTAAAAGGCTGTGTGTGTGTGTGTGTGAGAGAGAGACAGAGAGACAGAGACAGAGAGACAGAGAGAGATAGATCTAGAGAGCTATTACTTGGAGGACTGCAGCCTCTCCACATGCTCCTGTCCCCAAAGACTCTTGAGTCTGAGGCTTTGTGAGCCCTTTGTTGCTTCCCAGGAACTGGCTGGAGAACAGGACTTAGAATCAGAGATAATAAAAGTAACTCCTGGAAATGCAGTCATCCAACTGTGACTCCCTCCATCATTTCCCTCAGCCCTGATTTGCAGGACAAAGACCCAGGGGGCCTGTCCAGAGAACCCAGACCCACACATTTAAGGTGAGTGTGCTTGACCAAACCTTCCCTCAAAGGGGCTGCAAAGACCACATTCTGATGACTCTGGGGGTGCCAAGATTGCACAAGGCTGTTTTATTATTCATAAAAAAATAAATTTATTTACATTTATTCTTCACTGTGGTAGTACAGTCTTCCCAAGGCCCGTGATCCGTGGTCCTGTGGTCCCAGCCTGCACCTGTACCTTTGGACAAGTAAGAACAAGGGATGCCCAGAAGCTGGCTCTGTGGGGTGGTATTGTGGGGGAAGAGAATTAAAGGTGGGAAGGGGAGGAAGTCTAAGGGTGAGGGCAAGCAGTGGAAGCCAGGACTGGGGAGTTGAGAGTGGTCCAAGGGGGTGGGGGGCAACCATAGGCTTGGTGGGAGGTAGGGTGGAGGTGTGGGAGTAGCAGGGTCCTAGGAAAAGAGTCCCAAAATGAAGAGGCCCTGGCTTGGTGGTGGAGGCTAAGGCCTGGGAGGATGGGGGTTCAGACTGTGGTGTGGAGGCTGAACCCTCAGGAGCCTAGGGGCTGGAACCTGGCTCCAGCAAACCAGCTTTTTGATCTCTGAAGGCCCCCCTCAACCTTAGGGTGCAGCCAGCCCAGGCACTTTGGAACTCACTGAGAGGGAGCTGCCAGGAAGGAACCCACCGGCCCAGATTAGCCACTCTCTTTGCAATTTAAAAGCGAGCCTGAGGCAAGTTCCTGGTCCAGAGTTCCGTCTTTAAGGGCCTTTTGAAATCACGTTGCCCTCAATCCTCAGTCAGTCCGGTGGGCTCAGAGGGCCAGGCAGGGTGTAGCGTGCACAGCTAAAACCCACTCCTGGGGTCTAGCTCCTCGCTCTCATGATTGAAGGAGACCCTTTGCAAAGAGAGAAAGCATGGTCGCCCAGAACCGCGGCAGCGTGGCCAGGACCATGGGCCGTACCGCTGACTTTGGAGCGCTGCCTTCTACATCTTGAACCCTCACATAGGGAAAGCCATGATGACCCTTCCTTGCGTTCACAGTCCCAGGGGAAGGGGAAGGGGTCAGGGAGAATCCAGTGGCACTCCGTGAATCCAAAGGGACTCCTTTCCATCCTCTGGGGTTCTCGCTCTCTCTAGCTTGTCTCCGAGATCCCCAAACTCACGCATTGAACGAATAATTTCCCTCCAGCGGGATCCAGTCTGATCTAAGCGGTGGTTCCACAAAGTCTATTTGCTGCAGAAACCTCTTTGGTGTCCGAGTCGGGTCGTCCAGAGACCACGAAAGGCCAGGTCTGTAAATTTAAAAAAAGCATCAGATAAGAGGGGAGAAGCCAGCATCTCAAACTGAAATCGCCCTCCTAAACCAGCCCCAGGGCATCCCTGACTTGTAAAAAGCTCTGTTTCTAATAAGCCTGGGAAACTTCTGAGGGGGCATCCACACTTCTTCCTGGACTTGGCCCTCAAGTTGGTTCTATAAAGCTTTCCTGAGTTTGGGGTTTTTGTCGTTTGAATTTTCTTTACACATACACACACACACACACACACACACACACACACACACACACTCCACTAAGATCTTTCCCAAGGCTGAAGATTGGAGAGTTGGCAGGGCACAGGGGGCTTTCCAGGCAAATCAAGTTTGGGAAAACTTTGTTATTCGGCAGGGATTCGAAAGTTCAGAGGCTCCATTTTAGAGCTCAGTCCTTCCTCCTGACATTCAGAAAGCAGGTCTGGCCAAATGAAGCCTGCCAAATGCACAGCTGAAAACATGTTGGGCGACAAAGACATCTGCAAACGAATAGTGGGGCTCAGTGAGCTCCAAGCTTCCCCTGCAAATAGGGCAAGACCTGTGCCTGGGTCACGCACGGGAAGCGCCATGGCCAAGGTGCAGAAGGTTGCCAATGCAGAAAGGCAAGGGGAATCTTCTGGTCAATTACTGAGCACTCCCTTGATGACGGAGAAGCTAAACTAGCCTGGGCACCATCCGTTCTAGAACCCCCTGATCGGGCTCTTCCCTGGGGACCTGTCCCGCTCCTACCAGGTTCACCGGGTGCACGTAGCCATTCTCATAGCGGTCCTCCTGCAACAACTGGCGCAGGTGCGCGATGTAACTGGACGCCAGCCTGAGCGTGTCCAGCTTGGAGAGCTTGGTGTCTGGGGGCACCCAGGGGAGGCTGGTCTTGAGCCTGGAGAAAGCTTTGCTCAGCACGCGCATCCGGGCGCGCTCGCGGGCGTTCGCCGCGTTCCGCTGCGATTGTTTGCACTCGGCGGCCGAGCCCTTGGGCTGGAGAGGCTTCTTGCCACTGCCGCCGCCGCCGCCCGGGCCCCCGAGGCTGACCTGGCCTCCGCCGCCGGCTTCGCAGAGCCGCTTCCTTTTGCAGCCTCCAGGGCCCCGGGCCGCGCCCAGCGCGCAGCGCTCCTCCTCGCCGTCGGGGTCCTCCTCCTCGGCCGAGGAGATGTCACTGCGCGAGGCGTCGCTGCGCTCGGCGCGATGGAGGGGCGGCCGGGCGGAGGCGGGGACTGGGTACCCCCGCTGCAGCCCCCGCAGCTCCATCTCCTCCGGGTCGCTCAACGAGCCAGTGGACATCGTGTCGCCCGCCGCGCCCACGCGCGCTCGCCTGGCTCCTCCTGGCCGTCTCCGCCCGCCGCCTCCCTGGAGGAGGAAGTCACAGGCGGGAGTGGACCGGAGACCCGAGCCGGGAGACGGGGCACCGCGAGCGCGAAGGAGATGAGAGGGACTGGCCCGAGACACGACCACTCTCTGAGCTGGTCTCCGCGCGTACAACCGCTAGCGGTGCCTTTTGACACGACTACTCATCTGTGCTCTTTGGGACAGACCACCCCTGGCAATGAAGAGGGTTGCGGTGGGGGGGCGGGGGG